GTTGTCTCGGATTCTCCAGCATCTGCAGTTCCTACTATCTCTGATTCTGGAACCTTCTGTTTCCATCTAGCAACATTGCAAGCTTTGCAAATTTCTCCTTTGTGTTTTGTGATGACACATGTAAAGGGTTGTTCATTCCAAAATTTGTTGCTAATTAAATGCAAAGTCTTCTGACTGCAGGTCACTGTGCATTCAGGTGACCTAGCAATAAAAGTCATCACGAAAGAAAGTAATTTATTGTGTAGTGCATTGAGACGCTGATGAAAGATATTTGTAAGTAACTATAATTTTTCCAATCACCTGGTGCCAGTCTTTTTAGAATCTGAATGAATGGTTAAAGTAAAATCAGATCTAATTTTGTTGCATTTGGGTATTATACTTGAATTGTTAGATGCTAGCTGGAGTTGATCTATTTATAGATCCAAATAAGTTCACACAGTGATAGTTACATCAGCATTTAGTGAAAATTTTGGCACAGGTAGAAAATTGTGCATAGGTAACAGATCTCCTTATCCAACTCAATACAGTGTGGAGCTGGAGGAACACAGCAGGTCAAGCAGCATTAAAGGAACAACAAAGTCGACGGTATAAACCGTGCTCCTCTGATGCTGCCTGACCTACTGTGTTCCTCCAGCTCCACACTGTATTGACTCTGACTCCAGCAACTGCAGTTTGTGTGATATCCTTATCCAAACTTACAAATATAAATTTGTTTCAAAGAACTGTGATGAGATTTGAAACATTAACTCTGTTTCTCTCTCCACAGATGCTGCAAAACCTGTTGAATTTCTCAAGTAGTTTGTTTCACAGTATGCTGTTCTGGTTGACCTAGTCTGCAGTAAATGCTTGAAATTGCAAAAGAATTACCCACCCATTTTAAGCAACTTAATCTGGTTTGCAACATTCAAAGACAGTTCAAAATCATTGTTGGTGCAATTTTAGCATCATGTTCAGAGCATAGTTCCTTGTTTGCAACAGTTAAGTGACAGAATATAATCAATAAATACAAAGCATGTAAACTAGTGTTGAAAAGAACTTAATGCATTTTTCTGTGAGACATCAAACCTGACTGTCATTTTTGATACTTGTCACAGGTCTTTGTCCAGAGAAGTTGGCGGCTTTCACCGAAAGCTTCAAGCAAGTGCCACAATACAGCCTTGCTCAGAATATAGCAACCAGTGGTGACCTTTTACAAGCTTACCTTCAAAGAAAAGTTGTTCAGGAAACATCGCAAGTGTTCGAACATGTAATTCCTGCTGAAGGAAAGCCAGTTACAAACCAGAAAAATACAGGTAATTATCATTTAATGAATTATTCTGAAATAGATAGACACAGAGACCTGAACCTCTTCCTTGGAATATTTAATTTTATGCCAGATAAATGTTTCACAATAATAATGAGTTAATATTTATTGTAAGTATGTCCTACATCGCACTAAGTATGCAACACCCTACTTGTACTGCTGAAGTTCTTTCTAATACTTGTAGTTCCCTAGTTCCCTATTGATGTTTACTGCCTGGGAAAAAATTCTAAGGGAAGGATGCTGACTTTAATTTAATTGACAGACTTACCTTCCCAACCGCTGACAAATGTTTGGCAGTGAGCTCTGAAGTCAGCAGTGGCCTTGGTTGATGTAAGTGTTCTGAGCGAAAAAGTTATACCCCAGTGTCCAGTGTTATGAAAATCAAGTGTCTATGCTTGCCAACTGCACCTGATGTGAGGTTCTTCACCTGAAATGTTAAATTTTAGTTTCTCTCTCCTCACCTGCTGGTATTTCAAGAATCTTCTGTTATTTCAGTATTGAAGCAGCAGTTGGCTTTTAAAATTGTAATAATGCCAATTCACCACCTTCATGAAAATGCTTAAAATATAATTATTTCTGTTCAACCCTGTCTGAATCTCGTACAAAATACTTGTGCTGAAGCTGCATGGGACTTCATCACATCTTCAATTAACACAGCCTTCAACAGTTTTTCATTTCTTATTATCCAGGCCCAGCAAGCTGCTTTTTTTTTCCTACAACCCCATAAAAATATCAAGATATCGAGGGATATGGGAATACTTTGGGAAAATGCTTTGCAGTAGAAGATCAGCCATGAACTGTTGAATAGCAGAGCAGGCTCCTGCTGCTTCTGTTTTGTATGTTCCTATTATTTTTCATGTCAGTTGCAAATATTCATTTTGCTAAACACAGAAAACCTTCTTGTAAATTACTTGGAGAACATTTGTTTAATGTCTTAAACTACATCAAATACTTGGCCTCTTTTTGAACTGGCATGATTAGAAACCTCCAGTGTTAATGCCCCAGCTATAGGAAGAAGAGCAAGATTGTGTGAGGGGGCGAAACTTCTTACAGATATTTCTGTGCTTTCCTTTTTACTTACTCAGGGAATGTGGGCGTCATTGGTTGGGCCAGCATTTATTTTCTGTACCTAGTTGCCCTTGAGAAGGTGATTGTAAACTGCCTTCTCGAACCGCTGCAGTCTACGTGCTGTAAGTAGGCCAATGCTGTTGGGGAGGGAATTCCAGGATTTTGATCCAATGGCACTGAGGGAATGGCGATATATTTCCAAGTCAGGATGGTGAACAATAAAATGAGTGATTAGTAATTAATCTCAGTTCTGTCCACCAAAGCTGTGGAAGCTTGAGTTTGGTTTGTGAAAGCACAAGCAAATTAGTGTCACTTCATTTGCTCTGTAGTTATGCAACGTTTCTGAGGAGCAATGGCAAGGATGTTGTACATTTACAGAAACAGTGGAGAATGTGCAGGAAGGATTTTAGAATGTGTTACGCTCAATGAGAGTTACGTTTATGAAAATATATATGAAATTGGAACATGTTTACACTCGAAGTGACAAGGAAAACATTGAGATCTTTAAGGATTATGTTGCAGCAGATAATAGAAGATAATGACATTGGTCGACAAGCTGATAATAATAAAAGACTGCAAACTTGTACAATTGCTGAAGAATTAAATGGGAGAGATTTATCATCCTACCAGATGATAAGATTGGAAAGTACAATACCACATGCCATTATTAGCACAGGGGCCATTGATATTTTTGAAAGGGAATTGAATGGAATATTCCAGGAAATTGAAAGTGTGCAAAGCAGAGGGATGAAACTAAATGGTTCATGTGAAGAAAAATAATGGTATGATCGGCTATGTACCCCATTTCTGTGGAGTTAGTATATAGTGACATCATGTAGGAAGCAGTGGCCATTTTCATTCCCACGCCATTTTTCAGGTAATGGGACCAATTGTAGCTCTGTTATTGTCATTTGAGAGCAGCTACCTCAACACATTCAGCTGGTTACACTTGGGACAAAGCTGAATGTTTGTTTGGATTAGTCCCATATCAGACAGTGTCTAATTCAATTTCCTAAGCTGTGGGAGGAGGGTGCTGGCTGAAGGTAGCCAATGCGGTGGTTGGGCTATCATTTACTGTTATGTATTAGCACCATGTTTTTCTAACGGCCCTTCCACAACTAATCTTGAGTTGTGTATTGGGTATCTTTTCACGGTGGTAAGACTTCTGCTTGGGTGCTGGAGCATTGACATCTTGTGATTTTGATGAGGAGTAATAACTCATCAGCAAAGCTTTGATTTACCATCAAGGATTTATAATCACCTTGCATGCTGGTAGACAAAAGAATAAGCATCAGATCTAACGCTGATAGTGATTCACTAAAATTTGTTGTCTAAATTTGTAGCTTACTCTTCAATTTGAAGTATTCACTGTCAATTACGGACAATGAGCATTTACTAATTGAATCACTTATACGATAGAATATCCTTTTATTGTTGGTTGGATGGTGTACATTTTGTTAATACTGATTTTGATCACCCAAGTTACAGCTCATCAGAATTTGTTATTTGAGATTTTTGTATTAAAAGTGCTCAGCAAACCTATTGTCTATGTGGATTTAGCCTTTTACCCTGTTATCTTAGCACAGGCGCCGGCCTGTGATTTTCTGTCTGTAACATTAGTCACTGTGATGGCTATGATAGTTGTGTTCATGCTGGTGCTGTTCAAATCAAAGTTCCACATCAAGCAATAGCCTTACGCTGGGCATGCCTCATACCAAACAGGAGGAGGTTGAACCTTGCAGGATTTTGAGTTACCTGAACTTGTTGCCTTGTCAAGTCTTTAAAACAGTACCAACTTTTGCATTATTGTAAAAACCTAGCAAAATTCCTGTGGCAGTGCTCGTGGCTATTCTGAGGATATTATGAAATGTGACATTGTGGATTATGACGAGACATGTTTGCTTTGTGAACTATGAAACAGCCAAAGAGTCTCATGAACCTTTTACACATGTGAGTACATCGAGAATATACTTTGGGTTATTTAAAGAATGAGACAGGGATTCATCACTGATGCAGTAGGAAATACAGGGAGTGAAATCTGATAACATCTTTGTTTCTCAGATAGTAAACAGCTTTTGGGGGTGAATACCCTCAATACAGTTACAGAGCACAAAAGACTTGTTAAATTGGTTCTTCTCCCTGCCTAAACTGCACGCAACAATATTTTTAATAAAGGTCAATTATAACTTATGGAATATGGGCCAGATCAGACCCCCTCAAAATATTTTAAGAAGGTAGCCTAGACCCTAACTTTTTCTTATTTTAAATGCAAATGTAAAGTGTCTGTTTCCGATACAATGCAATGTTAAGCAAAACACAATTTATTTAAACACCGTAGTTAAAATACAACCAAAGAAAGAGGAATATAGAATAACTCTACTGGAAACTTAACAAAATAATAGATACTGTAACAATTACTAATTAACTGTTCCAATATAATAACATCCCGTAAACAGACCCCTCAGCCAAAAAAGAGGAAAATTAAGACACACGTTCTCACATGCAGTTCTCCAATCCAGGAGGGAAAAACATCAAGAGAAAATTCAGAGAGAGTAGCAGCCAGGAGACATTCATTGAAGCTTACAACTCTTCTGAGACCCCAAAGGCTTCTGCTTAAAGCTGAACCGAAAAGTTAAAAGCCTGGTCTGTGAGAGCTGGCCACACCCAGGCTCCTTCCATTGTTCCAACTTTAAAAAAAATCCCAGGGCCTCGCCAGCTGTTTACTTACTTCGAGACAGCTCTGCGCCTCTGCCTTACATCCTCACTTCAAAAAAAAGGGACAAACTAACCTCTTGAAAATCATAGCACTGTCGCAAGTAAAAGGGACAGTAGCAAAATGAGTATGAATACTCCTCCTCCCACCCACCTTCCTGCAAAAATGCAATCCCCTATTCCCAATTCCTTCGCCTCCGCCGCATCTGCTCCCAGGATGAGGCATTCCACTCCTGTACATCTCAGTTGTCCTCGTTTTTCAAGGACCGTAACTTCCCCTCCTCGGTGGTCGAGAACGCCCTCAACCGTGTCTCCCACATCTCCCGCACCTCATCCCTCACACCCCGTCCACGCAATAAAAACCAAAAAAGAATCCCCCTCGTCCTCACGTACCACCCCACCAACCTCCGGATCCAATGCATCATCCTCCGACACTTCCGCCATCTGCAATCCGACCCCACCACCAAAGACATCTTTCCCTCCCCACCTTTATCTGCTTTCCGGAGGGACAACTCTCTCCGTGACTCCCTTGTCCGCTCCAC